GATATAAATTATATAATTATAATTATAATAAAATATAATATATAACATTATATATACATATAATTTTAAAAAATTTAATATAAGATAATTGTAAATTTTTCATAAAATTTTTGTCTTCAATTTAAACGAGTACGTTTAATGTTTCGTAGCTCCCTTTATCATTAAAAATATTTATATTATTTCAATTGTTTTATCAACAACTACCAATGCTTTTGAATATTTTCTTTGAAATTTACTCTAATTAAAGAATAAAACAATTTTTTTAATCGATTTGATAAGAGTAAAAAAAAAAAAATACATCGAGTGGGATTCACGTGGTAAAAATTGATGTCAAGTCATACTCGACATAAGAGTTCAAAGGGTTAAATAGGCCTTGATGATTTTTCATTTTTTTTCAAACCTTTGTTTTACTTTCTCGTTGACTCAACAGACAGACAAACAGTCAGACAGATCTACCAACCGATCGATCGTTTTGATTCGATTCGAAAAAATGGATCCATGAATTCGCTGAAGAAATGATCTCGGTCATTCTCGGAACAAACGAAATAAAATCTCCCTCATGTTTCTTCTTTTTCTTCATCTCTTTCTCTTTCTCTCTTTCTCATCTGCTTTTCTTACCATCATTCTCTCTCTCTCTCTCTCTTTTCGTACGGTATCTCTCGTTTTCTCATGAAATATTCACGCAGTGAGTACGACGAAATCATCGTTTGTTAGTCAACCGCTTCTGCTTTTGCTCTTATCCTTTCTCTCTCTCTCTCTCTCTCTCTCTCTCTTTCTTTCTCTTTCTCTGTCTTTTTCTTTTTCTTTTTCTATTTCTATTCCTCAATCTTTTCTATCTTTTTCACTTCATCCGATGACGATCCGACGCAACTGGAGGAGGGAGGGAGGGAAGGAGAGAGGAAGGACCCATTGTTGTCATCCCTGATCCCATTTCTTTTCTAGTTTCTATTCTCGCACGTGTCCGACTAGATCTTTGAATCTTTTTTTTCCCTTTCTTTCCTTTTTTTTTTGTTTTATTTATGGACGGGTCAAACACTTTTTCAAATCCTTTCGATTTTTTTTTCTTTTCCTATTTTTTTTTCTTTTCTGTTTTTTAATTATTTCAATCGAATTCTTTTCATTTTTGTGATCTTATTTTTTTATTCTTTAAAATGTGTTTTCATCCTACTAATATATTTTTTTTTTAATACGTAATAATAGTCATCGTTCATCGATAGTGTTTAATTTAAATTATTATGATTTTTTTAAGGGTTTTCTTTTTTATTTCTAACGCGTTTCTTCAATGTTTCAATGATACTTGATATTGTATAATAAAAATAAACAATTTTTCATTAACGAGGTTACCAATTAATAGAAAATAAAAGAAAATAATAAAATGACCTATCTATCATTATGATTGAACTTATTATATTATTTAAACAATTTCTCCAATATGTGAATCATATGTTAATATATATATCATATTATTATATCAATAAACTAAAATCATAATTTTCTAATATTCAATACCGATTATGAATTTTAATTCTATTGAAAAGATAAATGATTAATGAAAAAGACATATGAAAGTAATAGACAGAAATAAAGAAAAATAAAAAAATTAGAGAGAGTGAAATAAGAAGAATAAAAAAATAGAAAGAAAGAGAGAGAGAGAGAGAGAGAGAGAGAGAGAGAGAAAGAGAGATTTTAACAATAGGATGACAGTAGATGATGTTCGAATTTAATTTAAAGGCAGTAAGACAGTCCCCATTGTGTCAGGTCTAAACGTATAAATAGATTCGTCGTTTTACGTCTATGTGTATGTACTTAAAATATATATTTATATATGTTACATATGTGCAGTATCGTATATAAATGCAAGAGAGAGAGAGAGAAAAAGAGAGAGAGAGAGAGAGAGAGAGACCCACGCTTGATCGTGTATTGAAGAATGAAAAGAGGTTTGGTGTCTTTTTCTAGTACCAACTAATTTACATTTACAATCGTAAACGTTTGTTAAATTAGGCTTTCAAATGATCTCATCATTTTCCCCGATTAAATATTATACGTCTCCAATAAATCATATATTAAGTAAAAATTCAATTACTATTATTAGTAATATTTTTATCTTTTATTTAAAGAAAAATAAGATAGTTAGTGAAGAAATGTTAAAAGAAAACTAGGAATAAAAAATAGAGGAAAGAAAAGAAAGGAAGAGATAGAGAAAGAGAGATATAACGATATGAAAAATATTTAAGAGAATTAAAAAACAAAAATAGAAATAGCGTGGAAGAAAGAATAGGTTGAAATAAAAAGAAAATGATGAAGATGGTTAAAAGGTAACGAAAAGATAAATAATAGGAAGAAAACGAAATTCTATGTTTATTCGATATAATATCATTAACGTCATCGAATGATCGTTTCATTACCGCCTCAACGTTGGAGAATTTTGCTAACTGAAGACATATTGTTTTCGAATCCTATGAGAATCTCCCATGATTGTCGTGCTCTCTCTCTCTCTCTCTCTCTCTCTCTTTCTCTATTCTCGTAATAGCCGTGAAGTATTCAAATATCGTACTGCACACCCACCAACGCACGTTGTTTTGTTTAGAATCTTAAGCAATAAGAAAAGTAAGGAAAAACTGAAGGAAGGAACTATTTGTTTTTCTTATTGGTTATCTGTTTTGTATTTATCCCCCCCCCCACTTCATCCCTTCGACAAAAGTTGACAATAAATCGAACGTTAGAATGAATTAGAATAGAAATAAATGTGTTTGTTAATGATATTAAATTAAGTCAACCCTGTAATCTCCTCGTTTGGTTTGTCAGTGTTTTTATTTTGAAAAAAAAAAAAACAAAGTAAAAAAGAAAAGAAAAAAATTAATTATAGGATATCACTCAATAATTTCGAGTTGATCTTACACTTTTTATATTTAAATTTTGAACTTATGTTAAATAACTATCAATCCGGTCATCGAATTTAAATCTATAGATGAACTATAATTTCCATTAGTAATCCTACGATAGAAATGTGTATGTGTGTGTGTGAATTTTTGTAATTATTTAATTCAAAAATATCTAACATTAAGTTAATTTATTTAAAATCACATTTTAACTAGTTTTACGACGTACTTGTTGTAAATTTAATCCTAAGCTCTAATATTTTTCTATCTGTCATTAAACATTAGGTAAGATAAATAATGATATAATCTTATCTATGATTTAAAATCATGAAAAGATAGTAAATAAATGTTAGTAAAATATCTCATCGTTCATCCTAAAAGCAACCGATTAGAATCTGATGAATAAAACATATACAAAAGATAGATAGATGATCGTTCAGTCAGCACGTAAAACAAATCCTCTATCGATTGGTAATCGAAACCAATATAATGCACGAGAAAGAAGGAGATAGAAATAAAAGAAAGAAAGTGAGAAAGAGTATAATACTTGTGTAGATGTGTAGGTGTTTCTAAGGGGGTAAAAATAAATAGCTACCGCGTTTCCTTTTCCAAATATTTTTCTGATTTCAAAAAAAAAAAAAAAAAAAGAAAAATACAAAAGAAAAAAAAAGTAATCTACAGTGAAACGCAAGAAGTAAAACGATATCGTTTGTTCCTTTGAAAGTTATCGACACCGTTTCGAGTTAAACCTCGTTGTCCTTGGACATGGGCACGGCCCATGTGAGTACTTGCACGAGTGTCTCTCTCGTTGCTTGCTTCTAAGATCGCGACGGACAGGATAGGTAACGTAAATTTATGAACGAGGAAGACGTCTAAGAGAAAGAAAAAGATAGAGAGAGAGAGAGAGAGAGAGAGAGAAATAGAGAAACGACATAGCTTTTGCGGAACGAAACGTTCGGTGATATAAGGAAGAACGTGGGTGTATAAGCTTGACAGGGAATCGCAAGCGCAGCTTGAGAACTGGTTGAGAATGAATTAGAAAGAGAAACAGAATAAACGGAAAGAGAGAGAGAGAGAGAAAAGAAAGATAAATAGAAATTGCGAGTGATTTTCTAAAAGGGATTTGCAAAATATTTTAGAAAGGAATTTTGTAAATTTGAAATCAATTACAAATATATATGAATTATTTTCAAAACAATCGATAGAAAAATATTAGAATATTTGGAAATTCATAAGAATTGGTAATCGTTATAAGAATTCTTATTAAAATTTTCCCCTCCTTCCACCCCTGAGTATTTTAGTGAATAAACAATTTTGTTTTTGAAATATATAACAAAATTGGATAGAAGAAATATAAGATCTAAGTAAATCAATTGGAATATAAGAAAATTGTTTAAATAAAACCCCTTTTTTTCCCGAACAATTTTTGAATTTCGAAATTTACACGAAAGGATAATTAACTATATTATCTAGAAATAATTAAAGAATATTTTAAACTAATCGAACAACGATTTTTTTTTTTTAAATGATCGATAATGTTTCCGTCAAAAATTATTAATCATCGGATAAAACAGTATCGATCCTTTAGAAAGAAATCAAACGATACTAATAGTTAATTAAAAAAGAAAAGAGAGAAAAAAACATATATTGAAATTTGTAAAAATCTACGTAAAAATAAATATAATAACAGAAATAGACGCGAAAGTATTTATAAACTCCTTAGGAGAGATCGGCAGGAGTACGACTCAAGATTTCGTCGGCGTGTCTGTCTGTCTGGTTTTACGTCCGACGGATGAAATAGTATAATAACGTCGTATGTGTTGACTAATACGGAAGAAAAAGAAAATAAAAATTTAGATTATTTGCAACGTTTGGATTTACACGAAACTTTTAGAATTTTTGTTTGTTTTTTTTTTCTTTTTTTTTTATTCCATTTTTTAATCGATTCTCTTTCTCTCAAGAAAGGATTCGAATCAAATTTTTTCATATACCGGTTGAGAATTTTCTTTCTCTCTCATTTAATCGATCGACAGAAAAAACCAAAATGAAAAAAGAGAAGAAAGGAAGGAAAAGCAAATAAAAAGGAAAAGATGTGTCTTAAAATAATTACAAAAAATTTACCTTATCCGTCATTCCACGACCTTGAAGCCGAGGGTAGTCCTTCGCATCTCCTTAAAAAATTCTTCTTCACGATACTTCTTCTTCTTGTTTCTTCCTTCTTGTTAGTTTATTTTAAAGTTGTTCCTTAATCTCAAACACGCACGAGAGAATCCAGTAAAAGTGGTGGGGAATCCACGTGGGATTCCTCGTAGTTTATCACCAAGTCAGTTTTATCGAGGAAAGAGAGTCATCAAAAGATGTTTAAAGATAATAAAAAAAAAAAAAAAAGGAAAAAGAAAAAGTTAAGAAGAGCAAGAAGGATAAATAGATGTAATATGTAGGAAAAATAAAGAAAGAAAGAAAGAAAGAAACAGATAGACAAAACAGAGAGGGAAGATAGATGATCACTCTTATATAGCAAAACAACAGCACACTATCCAGCACACTCGTTCACTCTTTTTCCTTCTCTTATATAAAAGATTATCTTCTACTTCTTGTATTTTTTTGTTTTTCTTTTCTTCGAAATAATATCAAGAAATTTCCTAAAGGTAGTAGAACGTCCGATAAAACATCCTGCGTTGATCCTTGGATTTCATAAAAGTGATGATATATCTCAAAGAATGGAACCACCTTCTTCTTATTGAGAAATAATGAAATAAAGAATAATAATGACAAGTATTATTAATAATAATAATAATTATAATAATACCGGGCTGGTTAGGCCCCACGTGGACTTTAATGTCAAACTAAAAAAGAGAAGATGATATTTTATCTTCTCGTATAAGATCACACACGCGATCTATTCATATTTAGATTTTTTCTTCCGTCACACTGATATTTCAAATCATATCAATTTTTTTTGTCTTGACTAGAATCCTCTTGCGTTGTAATTCTTCTCTTCTCTTCGTGAAATCAGACGATCGATACAAAATCCAAACAATAATATTAATTCAATATTATTAATAATAACAATAGAGAGAGTAGTAGTAGTAGTACTAGTAGTAGCAGTTGTGTAGTAATATACTTTGTAACGTTGTAACGGTATCAAGTAATATGTATTTGATATGAAGAGATATATATATATATATAAAAGGGGTAGGTCGGGATTAAGTGGTTGCACTTAACACGTGCGATGGTCTTCTTTGTAGTGTCGTCGTAGTGTCGACGACAGGACAGTCGAGTCCTGACTGTTCAGTCCGCGAGAGGAATCGCGAGAGGAAGACCGCGGGAGAGGAAGGAGAGAGAGAGTAAGTAAGTGAGTGAGTGAGTAAGTGAGTGAGTAAGTGAGTGTCTTGAGAGAGAGAGAGAAAGAGAAAGAGAGAGAGAAGAGAAAAGAAAAGAGAGAGAGAGAGAGAGAGAGAGCACGTTGCTGCTCACCACCGTCCGGCGCTGCTTTGCCCGTAGTCGTTGTCCAGGTCCTCTCTCGAGGCGTGTGCGATATCCCCCCAACGGGAGTTAGTTTGTGGAGAGAGGGGAACAGGTAACTCGGCGTAGATGACGACAAAGACCGACGACAAAGATGAAGGTAGGAGGTGAGATGATTTTTAAAATACACGATCATTAATACAGATTTTATAACGTAAGATTTCAAGACATTATATATATGTCAATTATTACTTTTTTTCTTATTTTTAATTTTTATTTATTTGTTTCTTTGGTATCTTTTGCTTTGCATTCATTATTCGTGAATATATATATATATATATA